GGGGGGGGGGGGGGGGGGGGGGGGGGGGGGGGGGGTAGATGAGGGGTGCACGTTTGTGTATAACATTGGGAGAGGGTGGACGGAGACCAGTGTGCTGGTTAAATGGGGCATAAATGAGGGGTAAATGAAGGGTGAAGGGGTGGGATGAAGAGGGGGCATATCGATGAGGGGTGTGCATTTGTGTGTAAGTACGGAATATAGCGGGATTGACCAAGCAGTTAGGTGAAGAGCCGATAGATAGTCTGGAGGAGGAACTATGTCTATGGGGGAAAGATGACGGGAGTTTTTTTTGAGATCGAGAGGCTCGAATTCGCCAGTGGAAGAGATTCAGTCCAAGAAGCTGTCAAACTACCGTCTTCACCCGAATAGAACGGCCGGTCATTATATCTGTATTTTTTGGTGCAACTTTCAGTCCAGATACAGTGATAATCACCGGGTGTTAAGGTAGTGAGCAGCCCGTGAAGTGACCGCCCGTTGACAGCCAACCAACGAAGGACGCAGGAAGCCATCGGCCACTGACGTCAGCAGGTCAGCTGCTGAAATCTGATCCTCTGTGTAGTGGCATCGAGGGGATAACCTGGAGAGGTGGTTTCACGGCCGGCGGGGGGGGGGGGGGGGGGTTTTTTTCCCCCCCGATTATAGACATCAAAAAATCAGGTGGGGGGGAGGCCCCCGAAAACCCCCCCACAAAAAAAAAACATGAAAAAAAAAAAAAAAAAAAAAAGGACCGATCTGAACACGATGAGAGCAGGTCCAGTGTAGAAAATGTGAGAGGACTAAATGACGATGGGGTGATGTCTGGGAGATGGCAGGTCACATAGGTGGCCTGAGGAACTGCAGTGGAGCGCCCCCCCCCCCCCAACCCTGCACCCCGCCTCCCCGAGGGCTACCCTGCTGATCGACTGGGTGCGCTGCTACTGTAGTAAACCTCCCCCCGCCAGCAGGGCAGCCCTCGCCGAAAGGCCAAGGTTTCGGGGAGGCAGCGGTCGCAGATGCCCCCTGGACAGGCGACTACCTTCTCCGAATACAACGTACGGTCATTATAGGTGTATTTGGCGCATCTTTCAGTCTAAATACAGCTATAACGACCGTACGTTGTATTCCTGTGACCGTACGGGTGTAGACACAAGGGCAAGGCTGTTCCCCGCTCTCGTCTGACCTTCCCCCCCCGCTTCTCTGGATATATAAAGTTATAAGCTACCGGCTACCAGAATGGGCCGGGGTCCACTTGCCCGGCCGGGCCAAAAAGATATAAAAAAATAAAAAATATAAAAATTAATTTTTAATTTGAAATTTAAATTTTAAATTTGGTAAAGACTTTCGATGTGACCCTTAGGCAAAAGTTGTTCAGTTTATTTTTCTGGATAACATAGTTTTTGTTTTCGGATTTTTTGGATGATTAACCAATGAAAATAACAAATGAAGTAATTTTTAAATTTTTGGCTGGGACCTCCCCTGGTCCTTGCACGGCCGGGCCGCCCGGCTTGTAGCCTAGGTGTTAAGCATGATTGCCGGTGATAAGCAACTGGAGCAACTGGACCGCTCCAGTTTTTACTCTTTTTCTTTTTTTTTTCTTTTTTTACACTCTGCGTCTTTTAGTTTTCTTTGTTTCGTTCTGTTTTTTTTTTGTAACCAAAAAAAAAAAGAAAAAAAAAAGCAGCAGCTAAATTTTAAACTGGCGGCGGCATGCTGCAGCCACCATCACCTTTGTTGGTTTTGTTTTCCGAAGTATTCTGGGCCGTAACCTCTGCCGTCCTGGCTGTATGTCGCAGCCATCCACCTTTTTTCCTTTGCACCATATCTCTATTCTGCGGTTTGGCATGGTCTTCTTCCTTTGGCGCATCTTTCAGTCTAGATACTTCTGCGGTTTGGCATGGTCTTCTTCCTTTGGCGCATCTTTCAGTCTAGATACAGCTATAATGACTGCGGTCCGGCACTGTGGTGACCCTTTCGTTGCCCGCTTCCCCACGTTCTCGTTCTGATCTGGAGTTTCGAACTCTGTACCTCTGGGTCGTGTTGTTGCGGTGGTGCAGGTACGCATTGCCACCAAGAAGATGTTTCGTTGTGCGGTTGTTGGTCTATCTTCTGCCGCTCCTGCTGCTGCTCCTGAATGATGTGGTGGGGCATGGCTGAAGAGAGAGAGAAAGAGAGAAGAAAGGACAGACACTTACGTCTGAGTGGGTGCTTGGGTGGGTCTGTGGTTGGTCTGTTGTCTCAAGGATTCTCTGAGGATCAATCTTCGTAAGACCTGATCTGATCTGATCTGACCTGATCTGATCTGATCTGATCTGATCTGTATTTATTAATAGCTTCCTATGTCTAATGAAACTACAATTTGTTGTTATTTGTTTGATTGGAAGATTACCAGGAGGGTTGATTTCAGGTGGCCAAGGATGGAGTTTAAGATGAGTAATTACTGAGAGTAGTTTTGCGGGCGGATGTGAAAACAGTAGTTTGTGTATGTGAAAACAGTAGTTAGTGCGTGTAGAAACGGTAGCGTGTAGAAACGGTAGTCGTGAAATTGGTTGTGGGATCGTTACGTTGGATCGACGGTGGTAATAGATAATAAAGAGCTTTCTTGTCGTCCGTTTCCACCGTCACGTGGAATGGGGGTTAGGTGGACCAATGGGGGTTAGGTGAGCTCAGTGCTGGGCATGGAACAAGGGGAGCAAAGGGGTTCTCTGCTGGCAATGGTAGTGTAGTGGTGGTGGTGGTGGTGGTTAGTGGGGAGAGAGGGCGGGGGGGAGGAGGAGGGAGGAGTGGGGGGGAGGTATGAGATCTGTTGTGATAAGGAGGAAGAAAGGCTCTCTGATCTGCTCAGCAACCGAAGCCTTGTTGGCTGCAAAACAGACGAGCTCTTGAAAATGGCTCTCTGATGTGCTCTCTCGCTTGAGGGAACTGTCTTCTCTCTCCTGGTGCGGCTGACGACTTGGCGTCTGACTTGGCTGCTGACTTGACGTCTGACGTGGCATCTGACGTGGTGTCCGATTTGGCGTCTGACTTGCTTTTGTGGTTGTGGGTGGGGTTACCTTCATGGATGGGCGGATTGCGAAATCAGAGTTGGGGTGGGAGGAGTGTGTGCATAGGAAGGGGAATGGTCGGAGGTGGAGTGATGAAGATGTGCAAAGAGAACGTTTACGTGCAAGAATGGGGCTCGTCTTTGTTTACGTTTTGACGTTTGTTTTCCTGTCCATGACAGACTTGGTTTCTGGTGAGTTAAGAGGGTTAGAAGGAGGAGGAGGAGGAGGAGGAGGAGGAGGAAGAGAACATGTGGGAAGTGGTCATGGTAAGTTGGTAGATGCCGCATTTGCATGCACTGTGGAGGGGTCCTCTCTCTGTCAAAGCAATCAGGTGGTGCTCTTCCGAGGCTCCCAATGGACCACCACCGATCTCGACTTGGAAACACTTCCCCCCCTCGCCCCACTTCCCCCCCGAGCTGGTACGGAGAAAAGTGGAAGTGCCTCCCCGAGGGCGGAAATGCTACCACTAGGGCAGTTTTCTGAGGGCGTATGGACCGAGATCTCTTGCAACTGGAGCCTTCCTGAGCCCTTTTCTAAGCGGATTAACGCTGCTATGAATTGCCCTGCTGTAAATGGTGAGGAAGCACTTGGTTGGGGTCCCTTGGCTTGCCGGTCGAGTCATGCCTTCTTCTTCTCTGATGGTGTCTACGTGCAGTTCGATCTGGCAGAGGGCAGGGTTGTGAGTGGACCTGCTGAGATTCGCGCTCGCTTCAAGATGCCATACCCATTCTCACTTGGACCGGATGCTGCTTACCCTTGCCCCGTGCCGCCCTTGCCTTCGACAACATGGACGTCCCAATTGGGACCCCAAAGGTCATTTCCCAACTGCACTAGCGAATCCCAAGTTATCTTCGCCAAAGGCCATATGTATCTTGTCTACGATCTGGCAAGCAACATGGTAGTCGTCCCACCTCATCGCTCGCCGAAAGGCTTCTTGACCTGGCCCACTGAGGGTCATTCCGAGAAGATCGACGCCCTTGTGGCTCCCCCCATGCCGCTTGTGCTCTCTCACAATCTCCGCAATCTCCACAATCTCCACAATCAGCACACCTATCCGAGGGCACTGATGTTCCTTCGAAATGGGCAAATCCTGCCGCTCATGGACGCGAGTCGCCGTTCTTCCCATCCAGATCATCAACGAGATCGCCTAGGTGTGGTCCCGGGAGTGACACGTGTCGATCCCCCGAAGCTCCTCCAAGCGGTACATCATCTCGATGAGGACACGTCAGTGAAGGTTGGGTACCGCTCGGGACAACAGCCGGGCTTCTTTACTATAGCGGCGGCTCGTCGATGGTTCAATTGGGACAGAAGTCAACGGCTCGTACATGGTCGTCGGCTGAAAGCAACCATCTCTAGCCCCTCCGTTGGGAATGACGATGCGGAAGAGCATGATGTACATGCAACAACTCAGCACCACCGAAGTCTTGGGGTGAGAGACGTGGGAGCTCTGGCCGGAGGAATCGTGTCCATCATCACCATAGCGGTTTGTGTCATCATGGTCTGCCGCATCTGTTGGAAGAAACGGCACCATGATGGTAAAGGCAACAAGAGCTTGAACCGGGGGTCGTCTTTCCTGACCCGAAGGCTGATCAGCATCTCGGCCGCAGTGAGTGGCTCGTTCACTACTGCCTCAGGAAGTTCGTCATCGGGTGGCCTTTGCCGCGACCTGGAGTTTGATTACGGCTCTGTTGCGGCAGCAACCAATGGGTTTAATGCTGCGAACATCATTGGCACAGGCAGCAATGGGAGCGTGTACAAGGGGCGGCTCAATGGCCGGCACGTGGCAATTAAGAAGCTGGCAAAGACTGCGGGGACTGTTGGGAAGGGATTTTACGCAGAGGTGGAGGCTCTGGGAAGGGCAAGGCATCCGAATCTGGTCGATTTCATGGGGTTTGTGGCTGATGGTACACATGACGTTATGCTGGTCTTCGGGTACTTGCCCAATGGGAGTTTGTTCGATCACCTGCATGACCGTGCGTCACGCGCCAACCATCTGACTTGGGAGAGGCGGATGGGAATCGCTCGCGGAATCGCAGAAGGACTGTGTCATCTGCACACGGACTTGGGCGAGCCTCTGGCTCACGAGGATGTGAAACCCAGCAATGTACTGCTGGAAAAGAACTTCTCCCCTCGCCTCGTCGATTTCGGTCTGAATCGCCTGCGAGGTGCTGTGGTGGTCGGCTCGGGGGCAGCTTCGAGCCCGGCAGCAGTGCCCCCCATAAAAAACCAGGGCTATGCTGACCCCTTCGCCTGTGAGAACACGCAACAGACTTCGAGTCAGAGTGATGTGTATGCCTATGGCGTTCTGCTGCTGGAACTGATTTCCGGCCGGCGACCCATGGACGTGGGCCTCATGGGCCCCGATGGCTGCAGGGGGTTGATTGCATGGTCGCGTCCCCTCATCAGGGATGGCCTCGTGGAGGAAGTTGTGGACAAGCGCTTGCGGGGCAAATTCGCTCATCACGAGGCGCAGAACCTGAGCCTTCTTGCTGTCGCGTGCATAGAACCCAACCCTGAGATGAGACCGGACATGGCACATGTTGTGGTCGCTGTGATGGCTCTCATGGAGGGGAAGCCGTGGGAGGCCATTCTACCTGGCCTGCTCAGTAAATCTCTTCTTGCTGGGGGTTGTGGCGATGAGCAGTGCCCCACTGGGCAGTGTGGGCGGCTGATGGCCACAGGTGAATGCCAATCTCGGCATGCCACCTGGGATGACAGCTACATGTTCAATACCGGCCATAACCTGTGGCTGCAGACAAGACACTGCAGTGCTAATTCGGGCTGTGTGCGAAACAGTGCTTATGCTGGGATAGAAGCCGGCTATGGCAGCTGTGAAGGAGGGGAGCAGCATGCAGCCACACCCTGCGTTGCTCAGGCCCGGAGTCCCTATGAGTGCAGCAGGTTGGCAAAGGGTGCTATGGGTGTCGCTATCGGAAGTGGGTATGTGGCAACAAGGGGTTGGGTGGGCACCTTCAGAAACTCCCCATGCGCACTGGACCCTGCGTTTTCGGCCTGTGATGGCTCTGTCAAACGACTGAACGGTCCCGTTCGTGCGGTGGGAAGTGAGTATTGCAGCTGTGACGGAGGGGGCCAGCATGTGATCCCTCCGAGAGTCGTCCAGGCGGAGGAACCAGAAGATGGCCTGCTTAGGGAGGGTGGTAGAGTCACAGTCTTGGGAAGCCCGTATGTTGCGCCAAGGGGTCGATTTGGGACCGATCGGGGATGCAGAGGTGAGCCTGAGCTTGGGTATACGCCCTATGCGGAGGGTTGTGTCGATCAGCGGGGTGGGTTATCTCCAGCGCAATTTGTAGGCATGGAGTATCTGGGGTGCGTGAACACCACACAGCTGGCTGAGCTGGGGGATCATGGGTATGGCTTGTCGTCTGAGCTGGGGGATCATGGGTATGGCTTGTCGTCGCCGTTGCCCGTCCACGGCAGTCCCGTTGGCAGTGCCTTCAGCTGTTCGCCGGGCTACAGCACTGATAATGCAAGGTGCAATCTCAGCCTGCGAACGGGCAGCGATTTCAGTTGCGCAACGGAGGTGTGGGTGAGCGGGCCTACGGGGGGCGTTGACACAAGGCATCATACGGGCTCAAGGGCGGCGGACATGGGAAGCCCCGCGGGGCACAACCCGAGCGGGCCATCATGTGGGTCGAGCGGGCCTCTCGCCGGAGGTGAAAAACTGAGTATACGCTCACAGATTAAGGAAGGAGCCATGGCATACAAGGAATGGGACTGGGAGGGACCTCAGGACCGTCGGGACCGGGCGGTCCTGAGTCCCGTCGGTAACTGCGGGAAAATTGCTGAGGTCGACACAGCGCCAATGGGACTGGAACAGAACTCGGGACCGTCGGGACCGGACGGTGCATCCAAAGACCAGATTCCGACGGAATGCCTGCAGCAGGTCGGGATGAATTGCGCCGTGGGGATGAAGGGGGAGATCGCAATCCCGATGGATGAGTGTGAAGGCCACACTAGAATAAAGCAGGAGGAAAAAGCGCGGGGTACTGCCTGCACGATTGAGCTGGTCGACGACGGGAGGCAACATTCGGAGAGGCGTATGGAGACCAGTGTGGTTGTTAAATGAGGGGGCATAAATGAGGGGTAAGTGAGGGGNTCTCTCTCTCTCTCTCTCCCCTCTTCCTTCCCCGTCCTCCCTCAGGTTCTTTCTTCTTCTTCTTTTTAAATTTGAAATTTTATCATCCTTCCTGTCATTCTTGGCTGTTTGCTTGTCGTTGTCGCCTTCGCCCGACTCCCTCCCTCCCTCCCTCCCTCTCTCTCTCTCTCTCTCTCTCTCTCTCTCTCTCTCTCTCTCTCTCTCTGTGTCTGTCTCTTATTTTTCTTCTGTCCATCTGATTCGCGCCTGGATTCGGGCCTGCGTCTGTATTACAACTGTTCGTCGGTGTACCGACTAAGACGGTGTCTCCTCTCTTTTCGATTTCTTCTATTTTATTAAAATTTTCTATTTTATTATTTGATATTCCGCTACAAATCAGTATATCCATATTCATAAATACAACACGAAGAGAGATTTGTAGCTGAATATCAAATAATATAATAGAAAAATAGTTATAAAAAGATAGTTATCAAGATTTCTTTCTTCCATGTCGTCATCAAGCTTTCTTTCTTCCATGTCAGATCCGGATTGCGATCTTCGGCGTCGGGATCGGGGCTTCGCAATGTGTCGGCGGCGAATGGTGGTTGTTTTCCATCACGCCGTGCTGTCCACGATACTTAATTGTAGCTGTATCTGGACCGAAAGCTGTGCCAAATACATACAGCTATGATGACCGTGTGCGCTCTAGGGGGAGGGGGGGGGGAGGGGGAGGAGGGGAAGACGGTATCTGCTTGTTTCACATGGCAGTTTGTGCCTGCCAGCGTGGCGCGAGCAGATATTTTCTCTGTATCTGGACGGAAAGCTGCGCCAAATTCATACAGCTATGATGACCGTGAGTTTTCCTGGTTGGCCCCTGCCCCTACGTGGGCGCAGTTGCACGCCTGCAGGCTATAGCTCGCTGCACGCCGAGCCTGTTGGTCGATCCCGACGTAGTGAATTTATGTTGTATTATTATTACAGTATTACTAGTATTACTTTTAAGTCTGCTGCGCGCCGAGCCTGTTGGTGCGATCCCGACGTAGTGTCTTTATTTAATTATTATTATTACTAATTTACTACCGTAATAAAGTGTGCGCAATGAAGTGCGCTGCGCGCCAACCTGTGAATCAACCGGCGATCCGCATTGGGAGATTCACTGCGCGCCAAAACGTATCAGTGAACAGATGTGCACTGCGCGCCGAATCTGTGAGTGAACAGAGATTTTATTTCTATTTTTATTTCATTTATTTATATTGTTTTCTTTTCTGTGAACGAATGTTTCACTGCGCGCCGAATGTGTGAGTGAACAGTTGTTCACTGCGCGCCGAATTTTTTTGGGTGAACAGATATTCGGTGCGAGTCGGGATCTGTGAATGGACATATATTTAGTGCGCGCCATTGTATACAATATAATAATATCTCGTATAATATTTGGCATACGAAATAGTATTTTTAGTAAATTAGTTTTTTTTTAATCATACATACAATATTATGTATTACTGTATTATATATATTTATTTGTTTATTGTTATGTAGTTAATACTGTAATTAGACCAAGTTTGTCAATTTTATTAGATGAACTTTTTAGGGGGGTGCCAAAATACAATTAACAAATTTAAACTCAGTATAAATGATTAATGTGAATCGACAGATATTCAGTGTGCTGCGCGCCAAATCTGTGATTCAAACCGACGGTCAGCCATTCAATGCACTGCGCGCCGAATACTACCCACGTCGGGATCGACGGGCGCGCCAATCGCTGATCTTATCGTGCTGAATATCCGATTAAGAAAAAAGGAAAAAAAAAAACGATCGGGATCCAGATATTCACGCGACCTCTCCCCGATCCATCCAGATATTGCCGATTTTTTATTTAAAAAAAAAAAAAATGTTTGAAAGGAATCGAGTAACAATCAGATAGCATGCAACTTCTGCTATACTATCTGATTTAGATATGCAGGTCGCTGCGCGCCGAGTCTGTCTGTGAACCCAATCGACGGATGATTCTAGCGATTAGGGCAACAAACGCGCCTCCCCCCCCCCCCCCCCCCCCC